GGATTCAGTGTTATGTATTGTTTTGTTAAATAATGGTCCTCATTTAAACATTCCCTAACAAACAGAAACTAGATTTTGCTTGTGTATTGTATAGTGGCTGAACATCCCACTACCGCTATATAACACATCCCAGAGCTGTATGTGGTTAATGAACAAACGAAAGCCGACAGGTGAACATCGCTCAGTAAACCATTACAAGGAAACCTCCGTCCCCTATCCTATAATAGAAATATTTGAAATGCTCGATAACGGGTAATTCAGATATTTCTCTTTGCGACGACACACTGTCATCTTATCAACCAGGCGATCGTAGTTTGCACAAAGTACCTATCTGTTTATTTATTGATGTTTCTGTGCGTTTGTTTATTATACTGAATTGTAGTGCGTATTTCTCCCTGTTATGGTAATAGCGCATCACCGTTTCTAATTCCGGTTTCCACCCAAATTATGAGCATAATTCATGGGTACAAGAAATACAAAAACTGAACCTAGGTGTTCTTTCATGTACCCTTTTGTTGAAATATTTGTTTTATTTTCCTATTTTGTTTTGAGCAGGTATTAAAAATAAGTCACTGCTATGTCAAAACAATGTTCTTACCCATACAGCACTAACGTCACCAGTGACCAAGCTGGCAGAATGTCAACGAAACTGTCTGGGTAAGAATATCGTTTTTGCACATGAAAAAACGTTACTGGTTTTATAAAATGGAGTGTAGCTTAGTATATGGAGTGTCAGTCTCCTTAAACAGAGAATATAAGTTCGATTTAATTGTACTGACAAAGTATTGAATAGATTGTTTAATACCCTGATCCGTCAGTTGTGTACTAGTCGTCTACATGTCTAAGGCGTTTTATATAGCCAGCGTTGGTCACAATGTTCTTCATCAGCAAAAATGTCTTTTGTTGTGTTTTTTAATTGTAACGGAATGTCTTCATGAGGAAAAATTTGTCATTTGTATGACACTGAAGATGAATCCTAAGTTATTACCTCAGTTTTAACTCTATGCTTCTTAAATTAATACCATTTTCAACGGATCTGATGTCATTCATCAAATAAATAAACAGTAAGCAAAGTAAACCTATGTACTGCGATGTCATACTGCGCTTCCTAGTGGTGCATATAAATGAGTTACTTCCCTTCAATCTGAGATGAAACCTGTAACACGATGGAGAGTCCATTAATTCTCATTCTAGTTCTCTTAGGAAATCATTTGAATTGACATGCTTAATACTTGATTTTTTGCTATTGATATTTAAATGTACGATCAGAAATATTGCTTATATTGGCAGATGAATTGTTGTTTGTACTTCGTCAGTTCATATAATTTTATGTGTAACATGAACATGCAAAATGATTAATAAAGATTAAATGAAGTGCATTATTCAATTTTTAATAATTTGGCATCATTTACATGTAATGCAAGATTAACAGGATCAGCTGGATCTAATATCCTGAAAAATAAATAAATAATATTAGTTGCACTTAACAGTTAAAAAATATAATCGAAACAATTGTCACAATAAGTTTGCGGTCAGAAAGTACTCATTTAAACATTAATCAAGGGAATGTTTACTGGCTATTTTGTCAATTAAGAACACATTAGCGATACTCAACGTCAAACGTCATAACGTTACATTTACAATAATTAAAGAGATAATTTATTTTCCTAGTACACTTATAGAGTTTCCTGCAAACCGGCACAGAACGTGTAATTAAGTCATTTAAAAACTGTTAAATGGATTTGAACTGATGAGATTTGTTGTTAAGATATTATCTTGTTTCTTTATTGTGCGATACACATGTAGTTTCTTGTAGCAGTTTTCTATTTAAAATAAAAAAACATGAAATAAAAGGATTTCTTCTATTTTCTTCATATACCTTTTCCTCCGAATCCTCCTTGTCCTCCCATTCCACCGCCCATTCCTCCAAAACCACCATTTCCTCCGCCCATACCTCCGAAGCCACTTTGTCCTCCCATTCCACTGCCCATTCCTCCGAATCCACCTTTTCCGCCTGCCTTTCCTCCAAATCCACCTTGTCCTCCAATTCCACCGCCCATTCCTCCGAATCCACCGTTTCCTCCACCCATACCTCCGAATCCACCTCCGTTCATGCCACCTCCGTTCATGCCACCTCCGTTAATGGCACCTCCGTTTCCTCCTCCAGTACCGCCCATTCCTCCGAATCCACCTTTTCCGCCTGCCTTTCCTCCGAATCCACCTTGTCCTCCCATTCCACCGCCCATTCCTCCGAATCCACCGTTTCCTCCACCCATACCTCCGAATCCACCTCCGTTAATGGCACCTCCGTTTCCTCCTCCAGTACCGCCCATTCCTCCGAATCCACCTTTTCCGCCTGCCTTTCCTCCAAATCCACCTTGTCCTCCCATTCCACCGCCCATTCCTCCGAATCCACCGTTTCCTCCACCCATACCTCCGAATCCACCTCCGTTCATGGCACCTCCGTTTCCTCCTCCAGTACCGCCCAT